AAAAAGTGAAGCTCTTTTGCAGAGCTGCATGAAGGTTCAGCACTCAAGAAGCAGGGGATGCTGGAGATACACCCCAACACCTCTCATCCTGTGAGTAAGGAAATTAAAATATCATCTAGAATACAGCAGCGCTTTCAGAGCAATTTTAAAAGGCACTGAGATTTCTACAACAAAGGGTGAAAAGTGGCAGCCAGGACTGAGATGGAGAAGGAAAAGGACCTTCCTAAGTCAGCGCCAAGGTGGATAACATGGATGGGGTTGTTGAGCAGCTGTACTGCCTCACAAAGCAAACCGATGCAAGTCCTGTGGTGAGGTGTGCTGGCCCTAAGAAAGGGACAAGGGGCCAAACAGTGCAGCGCACTAACACAGAACTGACAAAACATCTGCTTTACTAACACGTTTGCCATGATCTGCGACATGACCTTGGATGAGTCACTCCACCTCTCTGTGCCTCTGGCTGCCATCTGACTAATTAGACTAAACTATCTAACTATAGATTAGTTTGGCAGGTAGCACAATTGGTTACCGATACTGCCAAAAGCCGTCAAGCAAAACTGGAACAGAGAGCAACTGTGGCCAGTCACTTGCAGAAGCACTGAATTCACACAGAGTCAAAAAGGCTGCACAAGTAAGCAGCTCTCAGCACTGGTCTCATTTGCTCAGTCATCTGTGTCACACGATTCCCAAGTTTATCAAAGCATTTCTTTCAGGGAGCCTGAAGGTGCATCTCTAAGCCAGACACAAGCATTTGTATTTAACAGCATATTCAATAAGCTTCTCTGTACAGCACTTAAGAGTGAGTAATTAAAGGAAATATTAGTGCAGTAGAGCTTCTCATTAGCAACCTAATTAGCCTTCTGAAAATAATTAACATTCCTTTCTATAATGGGAACAGATGACCCATTACATCCATCAGACAAGCAAAACAAATGCTGAAGGTACAGGAGATTTGTTCAGGGAGACAAGCAAGAGAAGCATCCAGCAGCAGTACCAGTGAAAAGGAAGAAGATGGGCACAAATGCCCATGACTCACTAAGACTGGACTGTGCAAGTGGGTGTGCAGGACTAGTACATGCCTCACAGTCTGATGTGTACATCCAGCAATCACACTGAGCATTTTCCTTCCTCTACCTCTGTGACCCACTGAAAATGCATCTCCTGAGATGCTGAAAACTTATGATACTCATTTTGAAAGCCAGATTTAAAGGCTGTCAAATTCAACTATTCGGTCACAAACAGCTCTCTCCATATGCAAAAATTTCCCCAAAGGTAATACATTTTGACTATTAAAACACTCTCAAAATGCTCATTAAAATAAACCATGATTTAATCTCACATGTAGCCCATTTCTGTGGCCCACAGGAACAAGTGAAGTGATGGTTATGAACAGCATGAAGTACACTGCTCCAAGTTTCACAGGGTGGTGCTCTCATCAGTTAACATGCCCTGAAAGAGTTAGGTCTATGTTTCTTGATCCGTGCATGTTTGAAATCAGTGTGGGTGAGCAGAGTGTCACAAACATCAGTGTTGAGGGATGTGTGTGTATGGATGGATGAGAGAAAGCAAAGGATACAGGTTAAATATCACTGCCCAGTGCAGCAAGAACTGTGGTATGACAACAGTTTGATGCACTGTTTCAGTGCAAGACAACAGATAAAGGAGAAGTAAGACATAATGGAGACGAGCTTCCCAACATCCACATATTCAGGTAACAGCAAACATAACAAATCATGAACATGCAGTTGCATTTTCAGCCATTTCCGTGTTTGATGCATATTTACATTTCCCTGGCAGGAAAGCTGAATACTCATACTCTTCAAGTGTGACTGCAGTGAGGGCGAAGCTCAGCCGTACAGAAGCTTCACCAGATACATCACTATGGAAACCACAAATTCATCGCCTGCTCTGTTAGTCTACTTCTTCTGATTAAAAAAAAAAAAAAAAAACCACAAAAAAAGTAAAAGTATTCTTCCAGTTCATCATCTTCTCTCTTCTGTCAAGACCACAGGAGGACAAACACATTTTACCCGCTTCAGGACCAACCACTTCTTCATTGAGAGCCCTTTTTGTGAAACCTACCCCACCTCTCAAACCCAGTTGAGCAATCTTTCTCCCAGGATGCTTCTACCACTTCAGAGAGGACTCTTCAAATGCAGTCTGGGATTTTATCTTAGCCTCCACAGCTTCCAACAACTCCAGAGGTGACTCACTCTAGGGCAAATCCATCTAGCTGGCATAGTAAGAAGCTGAAAACTGTTCTGGACACATTCTAGTGTATTGTTTTGACTGAAGTATCATTTATTTCCTTTCCTCAAAGCTTTTTAAGAACATTTGAAGTGGTCTCAAAATGGGGTAGGGCACATTACAAGACAGCTGTAAATGCAAGGGTTAAACTTTTGCTTTAAGAAGTCCCTAATTTCTATAGTATAGTCTATATTTCTAGTAGTTCCTAGTTTCAGGTAACTTTTCCCACACTAAAAGTCTGAAGATGTCTCAGCAAAAGCCTAATAGCCGAGAGCAATTCTGGAAGATGCAGAAGGAAAATGGGGAAAATGCTCAGTATGGCATTGTGCAGCCTGGGTATGTGAAACGGCTGAAGGAATCTTCATACCAACCAGCAGGAGGGAAAAAGCAAAAAAAAGAGTAAAAAACCTTCCACATCTAACTATATGCATTTTATGCTGAGGCAGTTTCCAAACAAATCTTCAGCAACACCTTCTATCACACCAGGCACCTCTTATCTGAGCTCAGAGCAGTTCATGGAAGAATAGGAGGTGAATTTAGTCTCTGCAGCTCCATAAGGCCTCAGTCCCTCTCAACTTTAGCTGCCAATTGACAACCATTACCTAGATAAATGCTCACTAGTAAACAAGTTGAGAAAAACTAGCTATGTCACAGATGTTCCCAAACAGCCATTTAAATACACTCCTCCCCACTAAAGCACTCTAAATGGAGAGAAAAATCCTGCCTGTGCTCAGGGAACTTCTAGCAGATGACTCTTTGGCTTCTCAGCAAGATAGAGCTAGGAACAAACTGTCACAGTATAAATTCTCTCACAAAACCCAAAGCAGCACTACACAAAAGATGCAGCCCCCTACCTCCCCTTTGCAAAATGGGCCAGAGCAGTCAGTGCTTCCATCTTGGTTCTAACTCGCTGCCCTCACCTCACAGCCAATTCCAGGCTGGCATTACCAGATGCATCCCAGTTTCACTGGTGTTACAAGAGTTCCTACCAACAGCCCACAGGATGATCAAAGGTTACTTCTGTGTCCTCAAGAATCTCACAACAACGCGCAAGCCAGTTTCATGGAGGACAAGCTGAGCGGAGTGGTGATCAGAGTCAGCAGGGTCGTGTCCCCATGGCTTTGGAAGCAGATCTGTCTGCATCTCAGCAGACAGCGTCCTGAACAGCCTGAGTGGATGGAACATACAGGAGGCAATGAAGGAATGAATAATTCATAGTCTTGTTCTGCTGCCAATGGATCTATGTTTTCTTGTGCCTGTACGGCGCTCAGTTTTTGTTTTAACAGTAATAGGAGAAGTCTGCGCTTCCTTTGATGGTTCTTGAGGGCAGGCGATAAGCAGCTTTTGCTCTACTCACAGCAATAGTACCATACACCAGAGCGCTTGCCAGACACAGCTTTCTTCAGAAGTACTCATGGCTGCATCATTGACAAAACAGCTGGACTCATTCCAAGGCTCGGTCCATCCCTTCCCAGGAAGCTGCTAACACTTGCTTTGTCATACCCTTGCAGCACTGGTCTGAACTTTACTGCTCAGTATATGACACTTTTTGACCAACTGAAGCCCTGCATTCAGCTACACAATGGGCAGCAAGATCACAGTCAGAGCTCAAGGCAGCAGCTGGCCCTGCTTATCCACACTGTTAGCATTGCCACAATTAAGTCTACTGCTTCCCTTCAGCAGCTGACTGGGTCTGCTCCTCAGTCTCAGAGAGGGACAGGCGTCTATCAGAGCAAGCACACCTACAAGGGTGGGACAACAAAGTACTCTAGCACAGAACCTCTTGGGCACTACGACCAAGAGAAGGTAATGAGACACCCAAGACAGGATAGGCTGAGGGAGGGTGGTGCTCCATGAATCTGAATTTTATATGTGTAGCACCTACATATTCAAAGTGAGTTCCCAGTTAGAGATAAAGCACTGTGCATGACCTATCCATGAAACCTTATCCACAGAAGGGAAAACAATACTGTAGCCTGAACTGCTGCAAGTTGTATCAGAGCACCTGTGCTTAACCTCCTGTTAGGGCACCACACAGCAGACTCCACACAGTGCGCTCTGAAAATGCTGCAGGGTCTGGGGATTGTCATTCTGGTTCCACAATGTCCAGCCCATCTACCAGGATCAATATAACATTTCGCTCCAGGATATAAATCACCCTTCCAAATTTGATAGCAGTTTACATCCACTCTGTGCAACAGACTGCCACAGATACAGGCGAGTGGCAAGATGAGCCTAAAAGAATTAGTAGAGTAACACACTGGTAAATCAGGTGCAGAGACTGCACTGCTTGTCAGGGCCAAGAATAGATTCCTCATCATCCGACTCACACCTGTGCCTTTACCACCAGAGAGAACAACCCTCTGCTCTTTACCTACTGCTCTGGTTTAGCTCAGAGATGCTGCTCCACTGTCCTGATTGTTTTAACTGCCTAAGGCTATCCGAGTGTGAGATTTTAAAGAGACAATAACACTGAAGTAAGTTTGGCAATATAAATTATAAGCAATCAGAAGATGTGACTCAAAGCAGACAAAAATCAAGGGTGACGTGTGCAAATGGAAATCTTACACTTCCAGAAAGCAACTTTCAGTTTGAACCGATTGAAATAACTTCACATTTTGATCATCCTTTATGCACTCTACATATTTAAATTTCAAAGGTCCCATCTACAACACAGTCAGCTCTGTACTAAGAGAACTGCTCTGGTTTTCTGGTCTACGAGTGCACTCCCACCAGTTTTACCCTCCAGTCCTTACCTCTTCTGGGGAGGAATCCTGGAGCTCTCCCGCTTTTTGGTCAGCTCCTGGTTCACAGCATCCGTGGGTCAACCAAGTTGCCTCCAGCAGGTCTTGAGCCGTTTCAGACGCCAGCCGTTTTTGGACCAGGTGTGCGTGACTGACAACTAATACACCAAACAGCCAGCCTTCCTAAACCAAAGAGGTACAGTTTAATCTTAATGAAACACAGCATAAGAGAGGCTTTAAACACTGAAAAAACTATGTGTATGGATAGCTTAGCTCTGGTACATTGGGCCCTGGAAGACCTGACTTCTTCAGAGTCCCACGCAGAGCACCTGTACCTGCCCCTTGCCCAGGGTGGCTCCCTGGCAGCTGCCTCTCCTCTGGTGACGCTGAGCCTTTCGACTCTCCCCTGTCCTTCTGGATCCCAGCCACAGCAAACACACAGAGCAACATCACGAGAGCTAGTAACCAAAGGTTCCTCACTGCTACCATCTCAGCCAAGGCCTCAGTTAACCCTTGAAATGTCTACCATTAAGTGATTTATCTCTATTTTCCCAGCCAAGCCCCCAATTTTTGAAGTGAGCCTCACTGCTGACTCCTTTTCATCCCCATCCTCCCTCTCCTAGCGTTGCCTCCCTATCTTCCCCTCCTCCTCATTTCTCCAATCATCACACTTTTCTTCTTCTCCCTTCCCCACTCTGGGATACAATATGGACTTTATGTAAGCAGGCCCTTGTTACTGCCACCCACCTGCCACCCCAGCCTGCTCCTGGGTGCACTGGCGCTGCCTATTCCCCCCTTGCTCCAGTGACCCGACTGCCTTTTACCTCTGTGTTGGGCTCAGACAGCACAGCTGCATGACCTGAGCAAGCGGAGCGCATGAGCTGGGGCTGTACTTCTCTTCGAGCACTGACATTTAGGATGCCACACTCATGATTTTCACAGAAGTCATGCCTTGAGGTGCCAACTTCAACACACAAGTATCTAACATTATATTCACATAACCCTCACAGAACTTACACTCCGAGGGCTTGTCTATACATAGCATTTTTCTGGATTAATTGCATGTGAAGAAGTTAGAGCAAGGACATTTATGTGTCAGACTGTGTAACAAATGGGATCTTTAAATTTTCCTAATAAATCTCTGATGTTTTGAGCATCTAAATCCAACAGGAATTCAAGAGAAACATTTTTCTTTAAAATGAACAAAAAACCTACACTGTTTTTATTTAGATAATACTGAACTACAAAAACATTCCAATTAAAAATGCAGATTAAATAACTAATCCTCCCCCAACAAAACCTTCCCACCAAGATTATCGGAGCAATGAATAGCATAAAACCACTAATTAAATCAATGTAACATGGGTATTATAGAAACACATTTAGCACCTTCTGTCTGTGCACTGAGGCTTACATCTACTTTGGAGTCTCTCATCATGAGATACAGTTGCTATTTTAACAGCTAGGTATTTGTACATCAAACTGGGGAAGAACTTGGTTGTTAACTAAATCTGGTATAAGTTGTTCTAAAGCTGATGTTCCTAAAAATTATCTGCACGTCTTCTATTTTTATTATGCACATTTTGTCACAGTTGGAGATAAGTTTCTACTGAACTATTTATCAGACACATGCAAACAAAATTTTAAAAAGCATTTCCCTAAAATCGCAAGAACACCGAGAATGTTTTTTACAGATCTATTTGTCTGTAATTTGATTTGTACAATAATAAAGAAAAAAATCATATAAGCAACTGCAACACACTCCCAACTCCTTCCGTGCAGAAAGATGAACATTACACAAGGCTTCAAGCCAATCTCACTTTAGGACAACACAGTCCCACTCAATTCAGCCCCTTCCCCAGCACCAGCACTCAGACCACCCATGGGGTTTCACCAGGAGCCAGACCAAGGAACTAATCAGCCCTTTGACTACTACACCCATGCTACCCTAAAGCCTCTTAGCTCTCAGCTCTATCACCTCTCAGATCTGGCTCACAGGCCACTGCCCAGCAGAAGTTCCTTTTTCACAAAAAACTTCCTTTCTATGAACTCAAAGTCCTGGAGAAACCATATCTATGTATCAACACTTGAAGAGTTTCTTCAATTATTATTTTCTTTAATTAGCAAAGACTAAGTCGTAACAGACACGAGCAAAGAGGTGGAGCAGAAGATAAAGGTTCAACCTTAAAGCTCACATGATTAATACAATGCTTAAGCTGTACAGAAAAGGGGATTTGTTTTTTCTTTTGTATATAAAAGAACTTTCTGTGTTGAAATACTAATGATTGAAAATGCATAAAGTCTGTAGTAGGGAAAAAACAAACAACAGTGGTGTGACCATTCAATTGCATATATCGAAATAGTTAAAATCTAAAATCCAATACTAGGCCAGACTCAGGCTTCCCAAAACAGCCTTTGCCCATGCTCTGACTGTTCCTCTGACACAGACACCTGGCATCAGCAGGTTGGGACCTCATATTAGCATAATTTAGCAGTAGTGCTCATCAAATGAGAATACAAAGAACAAGCAAACAAAAAGGAAAGCCAATTCCTGACTGGGAAGTGGTTACTTGTGTGTTCCTTCAACTGTCTATTTTAGTATTTACACTTCATAATTTTCAAAATGCTCCAAAAAAGAAAGCTCAGGTCCATGCAACAACCTAGTGATAAACTGTTCAACAGAGAAACTAAGTCACAACACTCCTCCATGAGTTATCTGGGATTGTCCTAGGAAGAAAGTGCTAAATTTGGAAACAGAAATCGAGAATTCTCTCTTCTCAGAAACTCACCCTGCTCTGGCAAGACTTACCTGGAGGGTGATGCGGATTTCACTTTCAACTGAAGTCCCAACACGCCTTTCGATGAGGACTTTTGAACCTGTACATAGATCAGCTGGGATCTGAACATCTCTGAACCTAGACTGGTAGATAAAGCACAAAACATGGTAGGTTTGCCTGAATTTCCTTCCCAAAAGTACCAAGTTATCTCAGAGAGATACCCAGGACATGCACTGATACAGAGTCCCCACCTCCGGAAAAGTAAATGTTTCTCCTCTGTAACAACAACAGCGAAGTAATTGGAAAAGCAACTCTGTAAAGCAACAACTTGCAGTTACCCAAGGAAAACATGTGATTTCCAAGGTTAGGTGCATCCTTTCCCAGATACCTTCAGGTGGGTCCTATCTACTGAAAACTTCTGGCAAAGCCTTGAGAAGCACATTAGACCTCCAGAATGTCAGATTTCTTTCAAAAGCCATGCCACCACCCAAAAGCTGAAGAGGCTTGCAGCTGAAGCTGCAGATGCCTGCACCCCCATACAACTACAGTATCTGCAAATGCTTCTGTGGCTATTTATCACCAAAACCAGAAATGCATTTAGGGTAACTGCCAAGAGTCTTTGTTTTTTGTTGCTGTTATCCTGCAATGTTTAAAATTTAAAAAAAAAAAAAAAAAAAAAAGAAAAGAAAGAAACAAACTTGGGTTTCAAACAAACACACAATCAAATGTCCTTGTGCTGTTGTGCTGCTGTATCTGTCTTAGATTATTAGATTCTCACTTTTTTCTCTGTGTACACTCATCCCTGCTTATGTTCCTTCCATTCTGTTCCTGCTAAGGCAATGAAAATTAACCAGATGGGTTTAGATTCAGGTTTTCATGCTTTACTGCAGCTCTCAACATTTTTGGGCCAATGGGTCACTGAGTGTTTCAGGACTTCTCACAGCTTGCCACATATCCCTGCCATCTACCTTTTAACATAAATCTCTCACCCATTTTCTTATTTTTCATGTTTCCAAAGATGAGCTACAGACTACTTTATGTAAGCTGTTGAAGCATCAAAACCCAACAGATCCATGAGAGGGAATGGTTATTTACTCACATACACTTACATGCACCTATCTTTAAGAGATCATCTAACATTTTTTTCTGTTGATTTCAGGTTCTGTGAATGCTTCTCTCTAAAACTGGGATCAAATTTGACCTCACAATATGGCAAGTTAAGCAGGAGGTGAGTTAAAAAGGAGCAACTCTTACAAAACTCCACCTACACTTGCTTTATGAAGAAGTAGAGAACACATGTTACATCATGAAAGCAAATTCACTGGCTTTTTGGTAATTGAAGGCAGGGTACTGTTGCCTAGCAACTTATCTGATTACCATTTTTTCAAGTATCACATGCACACTTATATGTTGCATAATAATGTCTCACTTTTATGCTGCCTAACCCAACTGGAAAAAAAAAAAGGGGGGGGGGTGTGAGCTACCTGTAGTCTCTTTTCTAGCAAAAGAGAGTATACGATAGTGGGTCATAAACAGGTTGAAACATTAGCATTGCTGAATTTTATTTCTGCCTTTTTCTGGCTTGCTGAATGTGCTGATACAAGCATTTTATTTTATCTACTTGTCTGCAAAATGACACTAATAATACCAGCCTCACAGAGACACACTGAAAATTCATTAAGACTAGAGATTCTCAGATGTTGAAGTGCTGGTGTTAGCACTTAGAGCTTTTTAGTACTCCAAACGTTGCTAAGCCCTGATCCAAAGCGTAGCAAATTTTAATCATTGTCATGACATTGTCCAGTCCTTGTTTCTCAAACAAGGATCTCAAACCAATAAAACCACATTTTTCCCATCAGAATGTGACACCTTCCTGTCATCTATGTCTGATACATAGCAGGGAAAAGATAAAAGAAAACAAAAAAGCTACTCCCACCACCCTACACACAAGGTAGCATACCCCAACTTGAAGCTGGAATACTAAGCATTATCACTGCTCTTGGAGATTGTCCCATGAAAATCAGAGGTGAATCCGAACATGTGTATGCATGATATTTTTAGAAATCAACATGCTCTACTTATTGATCTGATCTTTGAAAAACTAATTGCACTCTAGCTAACTATGAAAGAATTAAGCATTTAATTGCCTCTATGATGAGCGGTAATACCTCATAATATAAACACCAAACGGAGGCATTGTTTCCAAAAGGATATAATTATCTAACAGGAAGTCTTGGATTCTAGAAATTGACTTTTTGCACATCTACAGGTTATATGCCAATACAGTATATCATAGTAAATCACCTACTTTATAAGTGCACCTGAGTCTACCATTGCCAAAATGGGAATGGCTTAGCTGCCCAGGGCACTCCACATACCACGCTAGCCTCTGTCAGCTCAAGTGACTGAAACTGATGTTTTGGAAACTCAGTATCTCATCTCCATGGTAAAGTATTAAGCAGCAAAAGCAAACCAAAAGCAACAACAGTCAAGCTCTATATTGCTAAGGAATCATTACATTACCTTCACAGCAGCTCCTCTCTTCCTAGTAGACATTGAAGCATTTTTATAAACTGTGCCCTACATCCTGCAGCTGTTGTGCAAGTCCACTTCCAATTAAAAGCTTAATTGTGAGATCTGCCTTGGAAAGAACTGCTGGATCAAAATAAACCAGATCACATGACATCTATCATGCCACTAGGGGAAACTATATAGACATCTTGAAAACACCAGAAATCACAAAAAGAAGTAACTCTTCCTCTAGAACTTACCACAAGCATCCTTACCATAAATCTCTGCTGACACGAAGGACCAAAGTGTCCCATGGGTTAAGCAAGCCCAGCTTTGCTAGGTTGCAGGAGAGGAAACAGCCAAATGCACACCACTATCATCAGGCATTCTCTGCCACAAGCAGCAAGGAACCACTCTACCTAGAGCTCTGCATAGACACTGCCCCAGCCAAGATTTCTCAGCCCAGATTAGGCTGGTGGAGCCAAATGAATGTGACCATCTTCTGTGCATGTAATCTGGGTGAAAAAACTCAAAACAGACTCCCCAGCCCCAGAAGGCACTTAGCAGTACACACAGCACTATGCCACAGCTACCCATGCTAAAGACAAAGCGTCCCCCTTCAGAAATACTTCATCATCTCCTTCATGCTCCCAGCAGAGTCAAGGAGAACAGGACAGAAAGGTGCTCCACATTAGCCCTTCATACAGGCTACCTTCAATACACGGCACACCCGAGCGCAAAGATCCAGCAAGGAAGAAGTAAAACAGCAGCTTCACCACTCCATGCTATCAACACTTATCTAATGACTACTAATGATTGGATCTTATGCAATGAAAGCAAGACAGCACAGCATTTGTGGTAGGAAGATGTCCTCAGTCACTTAATCCAGCTTTGACAGAAGCTGTGAGGGCGGGGGAGTTCTGAAATAAGGTTGTGGTGAACTCTTGTGCACTGACACCAATAAAAATCCAGAAGAAAAGAATGGGTAAAACACTTCTCTCTTTTATGCAGTGATTAGACACTTCTGAAACTAGTAACTTATAAACATTCTCATTCAGATAAGCCTACAAACAAATCCCTAAAGCAGTCTAGCTTTTATTTAAGAGCAGAGCACACCTGAAAATACACATCTTTTACACTTGTTTTAGCTGGACTGTGAGGTGCATACGCTCTGGCTCACGCTAGACATTATTGGGTGTATCGTTTACAACCAGGCGTGTACCGCTCTGACTAACCAGAAAGAGTGCACTGCTCCAAACCGGCACAGATGTTGGTAAGCTGTTCCTCCAGAGCCAGAGCCTTTGCCCAGTCTGGCTTTCTTTCAGGACTCTTTCTGGTTGCCTGCACAACCACCTTACCTAGGAGCTCAGACGCCATCTGCATACTCCTGCCTTGTGTACCGTAACAGAAGAGTGAAAAGCAGACCAGTTTACTTCTGACAGACAAGGCAAACCAGCCCCCTGCTCCCCCACCCAGTCTGTACTGAGCCTGCAGAGCTAAAAGCAAGCAACAGGGTCAGGTGATAAAGTCACCAGAGAATACTAAAATACATACAGGAAGCAGACCTGAGAAGTAAAAGAGGATCATTTACAAACCCATACCAAGCAAGCCACAAGCTGATAATACCTTCTATGTTGGAAAACATTAGCTACCTAGATGATCAATCTTCTTCCAGAAGAAGTAGGGAAAAATACCATACTTCACCTTTCACAACAGGCATATTTTATTTTGAAAGAGAACTTTCACTTGTATTGTTCAGCTTCGTGTCTTTCGCTCCAGATGCAACCCAGGAACAGCTCTGTTGGACACTGCTTCATTTGCAGCTATACAGGAACACACAGGCCAGACGGGACCACACAGAGGTTTGCTCAGGTGCCGTTTCCAGGACGTGGCTCTGGCATCTGAAAGCTTACCAAGGTCCTTGCAACTGCCTATGGAGGTGGGCAGTGCTTCCCACAAAAGGAAGGTGAGAAGTGGGAACAGAGGCTTTTCCTGCCTCCTGCTGGCAAACAATTTCTCTAAGTAATTGACCCATTTTCTACAGAATAATTAGCCCTAGGGAATGAAACACTGCTGCCCTTCAATTAGCCATGTTGTTACCCCTCTCATCTACCATGTAATAGCAGGCTGCCCGAGACTGTAAAAAGAAACAAAACAAAGCAACACAACAACTTAATTTCATTTTCTTAAACATGGCATTTATTAAAGGCAATCCAGAAACAAACAATCCTAAGGTAGAATTGGCAACAATAAAATTTCCCATTACCTCCATGATTTCATCATCAGAACAAGCAGGTCTCCTTCACGCCACTACCCTTTAAGTCTCCTCAATATATTAGGCTTCTCTTTTTCAGCAGCTTTTTCAGGATACTTTCCCTTCATCTTCCATGAAGAAAAACTTCTTTCTGCTGTCAGAGAGGCCTCTGTGCCCAAAATCTAGTCAAACCTCCTGCATATCACAGTTTATTAAAATTTCATGCAGTTTCTTGCAACAGTGCTCAGTGGCTTGGATTAGGACAGAAGTCCTTTAGTCTAGGGAGATTAGATTTGCTTACCATGAACAAAGAGCACAAGAAATCACACCACAGCCAGCATGGCAACTCCAGAACTGGCAAAGGACTCTTCAAATGAGTCTCACACAGATGACCCTCAGTGACCAAACCCATGCTGCAGAGGAAAGAGCAAACCTCCAAAGTCTGGCCCCAGTCTCTATGGTAAGTATGATTCTGAGGATACAAACAAGACTTCCCATCAAAGCATGCGATGACAACAAAAAGATGAGGCTTTTTCCCCTGGGAAGAGTACACAGTCTCCTCTCCCCCACTCCCCCCAGACCCCCTCCTTCCTGTCATGCTCAGTCCTCGACTGTGGCTCATTTCTAATGCTTCAGAGGAAAGCAAAAACTAAATTCATCTGGCTAATTATGCCATGAGAGGAAATACCCTTCCTGGACACAATACAGCGACTGCCGGCAGCCCTGAAGCACTTGAGCTGAGTACAGTCACTGTCTTAACCAAATGGACAGGTATTACAATCACATTTAGGGCACTGCAAAATAACAACTCCTCTCCAGAGCTCTTGATGTGTGTGAAAAAGTAGACCCACAAATTACAAGGCCAAAGGGATCCCTACATATTCATTCCTTCGGACTTCTCCAAGATGCTGAATTAAAGTATAGATTGTAAAAAGATACGTCAATTTTAAGACTCCAAACACTGTCAAGTCCACCACCTTACCCAAAAACCTCTTCCTTACACTCAAAGTCAAAAACCTGCATCTCCCGTCAAGGTTAAATTTGACTTTCACTGCTCGGCACTGCATCATATTATGACATTGTCAGCAAAACCACAGAGTCCCCACTATCAGGTATCATTTCCATATGTATGCTGAGATCTAGGTTACTCTCAACCCACATGTCAATATCCAGAACTCTTGTTTTAGTCCCCTCTTGACCACTGTAAACTGCCATGGGATCTCGCCACAAGTATGCCCAGGTTCAAACCCTCCCAACAAAGCAGCTCGTTTTCTGCCTCCGCCATCACCCCGCAGTAGAGTGGGAACAGCAGTACTGACCATGCTGCCAGAGCCTCACCAAGGAGATGTTATGAAGTCAGAAACAGCACCTGCTTGCCCCTCCATTTCCCTTCCACCAGACTATACTACTTCCTTTTTCAGTAAGTCTATGTCAGAGGATCTTAAAACGTTTCACACTGAGTAAATTGCTTGTAACACTTCTGCTGACCTTTGTTTAGGAAGCTGCTGTAGCTACTAGTTAAACCAAATGATTTGGAGTTAACTCCTGTTTCAATTTGACATCGGTCTCTGAAATGCCACCCTTCTGTACCTCAGTTTCCCCTCTACAAACAGGGGGATGCCCATGCTCTTCAGTAGGAGCCTCAACATAGAACTAATGGCATTTGCAGACATATGCACAAAGCTCCTCAGGGAGAAAACATCTGCTTTCAAATTAGGTGAACAATCTTAATTTATCCACAGCAGTGAGCTGATGTCACCAAACACAGAAAAACTGACATTGCTGCATGGAAATGTTACCTTCTAACTGGGGCTGGGCACTGGGATTCAGGAAGGACCTTCAGGATGTGCTGTGGGCATCAGAGTGTCTTACAGTCTTCCCACAGGGCGGTTCTTCAGTGCTGGCTAAAAGTGGCTACAGGCATTAACGATTCCATGTCAGTAAGTCTCCCTTTCCTGTTTCCTAATAACTTTATGGTAATTTTTTCTTTTCAGGACTTCCTATTTACCACCAGACAGTAAAGAACCCCATCTCTAACTGATGCCATACACACATTAATGCATTTGCGTTCCTGGAAACCACAGAACAGAGCTCTTTGGGCAATCTGTTCTTCTTGCAAATCCCCATCGCACACAGCTCTGGCAGTCACACAGGGCTGTTACCACCTCGCCTGCAAAAAAATTCAGCTCCTGCAGGGACTGCTTTTTCCTCAGAATTAAGAGGAAAACAGGACAAACCTGTCAAATAAATGATGTCAGAGAACAATACGACATATTTAATGTGACAGAGTTTTTACTGCTTCTGGTATGTAATTAGGAGTCTTAACAAGTTTGTACTTCCCCAGTAGTTTTGGGCCAGCAATGCCAAACGCTCTCTAGGAAGTCCCTCCCGGTGTAAGGCTCCAAGACGAGAGGGCCGGGCCAGCCTCCCAGCATCCCTGCTCCTGAGCATCCTAGAGACAATTTTCAAAACCCTAACGCAAAGAATGGGGGACAGAAGGAATCACATTTTTCCATTTTGCCAATATTCAACTGTTTTGCATATTTTTCCATTCCAAAAATGGAACAAGAGCAAACATCTTGAGACTAATTTTTTTTTTTTTTTTTTTTAAACGGGAAAACCTCTCGTTTTCAGATGATTGTAATATCCGGGTCCCTGACCTCTGGGCTTTACACACATGAGCAATTCACAAGGTTACAGAGAAGTCACTGAAAGGCTCAGATCCAGCCCCCACCTCCCAGTTCTGCCCTGCCGACACTGGGACCGGCAGATCTATTCCTCCTTTCCCGGAATAAAGTTTTACTGAAATCAATACAAAAAAAGATGTTTCAAAACACTTTGGTTTTGCCAAAAAAGGGGGCACTTTTCG